AGCTGGCCTGGAAGGAGTCTTGAATTCAGAGGCGACATGAAGGAAACTCCAAATGTCCAACATGCAATTAAATATAAAGCAAGTATTGAAAAGGTGAACAGAAAACCAGCTAAGATAGTGATGGATGTAACTCGCTCCTATCTCTACACTCAACAGTAGAAAACAAGTTAACAAGACACAAGAAGACGTGTGTCATTGTATTTAACAAATATACATTAGCAGTCTCTCAAATATCTATTAACAATCTCTAAGCACTAGATGTGAGACTCAGAATTTTCTGATAATTTCATTTTGTACTTGAAATACTCACAAGCGTTATGCAAATCAGGAAAGCGAAGATCATTTTCCAGCTGGCTGACCTGCCTCACCTTGGTATCACCTCAACCCCATCCATCAACCGTGCTGATTGCTTTCAAGTCTCCTGAAGCCGAGCTGCTGCCTCCCCACTAAATAACAGCCGGTGGCTCACCCTTGTCAAGCAAATGAAGTCCAGGTCCCAATGCATGTCCAGGGTTGTTCTACTGCCTCTCTCTGCCCCAGAATCTTGCGCTAACTGCCTTTCCAGATTTATCTCCATTGCTCTCCTCTGTAAATCTGACACTGGAATCAAACCAAAGCTCCTCCCTGCACAGTACTTTACATGGGACCCCTCTACCCAGACTGCTGCTCACCCCAAATGCTCCTCTCAAAACACGTTCTGTTTAAAGCCCAATGCAAATGACATTTCTGTCTTGAATTTTTCTCTTCTTTCTTAATGTCCATACTACTTTCCTTCATTAGAGAGGAAAAAGTTAATAGCCAGGGAGTAGATATTTATTTATTTATTAGAGATTTATTTTATTTATTTGAAAGATAGGTTACAGAGAGAGGTAGAGACAGAGAGATCTTCCATCCGCTGGTTCACTCCCCAGGTGACCACAACGGCTGGAGCTGCACCAATCCGAAGCCAGGAGCCAGGAGCTTCTTCCAGGTCCCCCATGTGGGGGCAGGGTCCCAAGGACTTGGGCCATCTGCTGCTGCTTTCCCAGGCCATAGCAGAGAGCTGGATCAGAAGAGGAGCAGCCGGGACTAGAACTGGCACCCATATGGGACGCCAGCACTTCAGGCCAGGGCTTTAACCCACTGTGCCACAGCGCCAGCCCCGGGAGTAGATATTTAGCCTAGCAGGTTGGATGCCGATGTCCCATGTTAGAGTACCTGGGTTCTATTCCCAGCTCCAACTCCTGACTCAAGCTTCCTACTAACTCAGCTTCTGGTAAGAAGTGGTGCTGGCTCAAGTAATTAGGCTCCTGCCACCCACGTGGGAGACCTGGATGCCATTCCTGGTTCCTGGCATTGGCTCCAGGCCTGCCTAATCTGTTGCAGGCATCTGGGGCATAAATCAACAAAAAGTATGTGCTCGTTCTCTTTCTTTCTCTGCCTTTCAAATAAAAGAAATCTTTAAAAAAATTAATAACCAATATAATAGAAGTCCCACCTGAGCTTACACGAAATGCAGACTTCGCTGGACCTGTCGAGGGGTGGAGCCTCCCACAGCACAACTGCATGACATCACCTGTTGGAAGGAAGGGGGATGGTGTGATGAAGAGGTCGCTGCAGAGGTTCCTGGGAGCAGAGGATGGACAATGAGGGAAATAGCATGAAGACTGTCTCCCGGCGGGTCACAGACAGGCTGGGGTCTGGACTCTACGGAGACAGGAGAAGTTGAGCAAAAGCAGAGAAAGCTGTTTTCACAAGGGATTCTTTAGAGAGATAGAGAGGCACACACGAGCTTGGGTTTGTACCCTTATATCAGCATACAGTGCAGAGGCAGGGGGAGAGTGTGGTCTTGCTTCCACTGAGCCCTGTCCAGCCTGGCATCTTGTGTGCTCCATCCTCCAGCTGTGGTGGGAGCCCATGTGGCAGACAGAGCAGCAGGGAATCAGATGAGGGTGGACTTGCTTGTGAGCTCATATGAATTCCCAGGAATATGTGCAGGACGTTGTAGATGGCCAAGACCTTATATAAGCAATCAGGTCCAAAAATCCTGTAGAATTTGGATTATTACTGCTGATTTGGTTTATTTTATGTGCACAGAAGATGAAGACTGGGAGAAATTTGGGTTACATCGACATTCATTTACAACCTGGAATCGTTTAAAACCTATCGCCAAATAATGTCTGATTTGATCAGCGTATCAACCACGTGAGGTAGGTATTACTGGCAGATTCTCCCCACATCGATGGATGTGAGCATTGTGTCTATGGTGGAAAGACTCCCGGACTTGTTGGCAGCTCTCAGTTTGAGCTCTAATTCTTCTTCATGTGGCTACAGGAGCATGGATAAATCATAATCCCTCAGCTTTGATTCCTTACCTGTAGAATAGGAATAACAACCCCTTCTGCGCAGGGATGCCATGTGACCCTGAAATGACAAACAAACCCTGCACAAGTGTGAGAAATTATTACGGCACATGACTTTCTACCACTACATTCATCTTCTGCCGTAAGTCAGTTATTCTCATATATGTCTCAATAGACTAGAAATAATGAAGGAACAACCATGCCTCATCTGTCTGTGTCAACTTGCCTTGCACGGAGTAGGAACTCAATATGATGGTGCAGAAAGCCGCAGAGGCGATGAAACAGGGTTCAAACCACAGAATGGCTTGGACTAGACACCAATCCCGAGAGAGCAAGGTCATTTATTAAGGTAATCAGGTATATAACACCATCAAATACAATAGGTCAGATCAAGTTTCCCAGGAATGTAATACATGGCCAAGACTTGCAGAAATGAATAATTGCTATGGTTTGGACATGGTTTGAGTGTCCCCCAAGGGTGCCTGTGTTGGAGGCTTGGTCCCCTGCTGGCAGGATTAGGAAGTGATAAGTCTTTGGGAGGCAGAGCCTACTGGGTGGTCCTTGGATCCTTGGAGGCCCTGCCCTCCAGAGTCAGAGCTTTCTCTGTGACCCCTTGGTGGTTCTCGTAAGAGCTTTGTCATAAAGGAGCAAGCCCGCCCCTCCTTTGCTCTCTTCTTCCTGAGTGGAGATGTGATCACCTGCTCCAGCCACGGCTGCTTACAACCCACTGCCCTCACGGGGGGCTTGTGCCATGCTGTTTGGACTTCCAGCCTCCAAAACTAAATAAGAGCTAAATAAGCAGCTTTCCTTTATAAGTTAGCCTGTTTCCAGTATTTTCGTTTTGCTAAGAACAAACCAACTAAATACAACTGTTAAAAGAGAGCAAGGGGGCTGGCATTGTGGGTTAAGCTGCTCCCTGGGATGCGAGCATTCCATATTAGAGTGCTGGTTCAAGTCCTGGCTGCTCCCCTTCGGGTCTGGTGTCCTGCTAATGCTCCTAGCAAGGCAGCAGGAGACGGCCCAAGTGCTTTGAGCCCTGCAACTCATGTGGGATATTTGGATGGAGTTCCTGGCTCCTGGTTTTATCCTGTCCAGTCCTGGCTGTTGCAGGCATATGGGGAGTGAACCCCGAGATGAATGATTTTTCTTTCATTTCCAATCTCTCTCTCTTTCTCTCTCTTCCTGTTGCTCTGCCTTTCAAAGAAAATAAATCTTTTGATAGGGAGAGAGAGAATAAGCAAGAGTGAGCAGGAGCTGGCAAACCTTCCCCAGAAAGGGCCAGATGGTAAACATATTATTTTTATTTATTTTTTAAAAATATTTATTTATTTATTTGAAAGAGTTACACATAGAGAGGAGAGACAGAGATAGAGAGAGAGAGGTCTTCCATCCAATGGTTCACCCCCCAATTGGCCGCAATGGTTGGAGCTGCGCTGATCTGAAGCCAGGAGCCAGGAACTTCCTCAGGGTCTCCCATGCGGGTGCAGGGGCCCAAGCATCTTCTACTGCTTTCCCAGGCCATAGTAGAGAGCTGGATCGGAAGTGGAGCAGCTGGGTCTCGAACCGGCGCCCATATGTGATGCCAGCACTTCAGGCCAGGGTGTTAACGCACTGTGCCACAGCACAGGCCCCTATTTTTATTTGTTTATTTAAAGATTTATTTATTTAGTATTTGAAAGGCAGAGTTACAGAAAGCCAGAGGCAGGGGGTGTGGGAGGTGTCTTCCATCCACTGGTTCACTCCCCAAATGGCCACAAGGGACAGAGCTGCACTGATCCAAAGCCAGGAGCCAGGAGCTTCTTCCAGGTCTCCCACGTGCGTGCAGGAGCCCAAGGACTTGAGCCATCTTCTACTGCTTTCCCAGGCCACAGCAGAGAGCAGGATTGGAAGTGGAGCAGCTGGAACTTGAATCAGCGCCCATATGGGATACTGGCACTGTAGGCGGTGGCTTTACCCACTACGCCACAGTGCCGGCCCCTAGAAGTAAACATTTTAGGCCTTGCAGGTCATATGGTCTCCAGGACAACTGCTGAACTCTGCCATTTGATCATGAAAGCAGTCACAGACAGTATGTGAGCAATAGGAGTGACTGTTCTCCTATAACTTATATTTAAGAAGCAGAAGCCAGTGCTGCGGCTCAATAGGCTAATCCTCCGCCTGCGGCGCCAGCACACCGGGTTCTAGTCCCGGTTGGGGCACTGGATTCTGTCCCGGTTGCTCCTCTTCCAGGCCAGCTCTCTGCTGTGGCCTGGGAGTGCAGTGGAGGATGGCCCAAGTGCTTGGACCCTGCACCGCACGGGAGACCAGGAGAAGCACCTGGCTCCTGCCTTTGGATCAGCGCGGTGCGCCGGCCGCAGCAGCCACTTGGGGGTGAACCAATGGAAAAAGGAAGACCTTTCTCTCTGTCTCTCCCTCTCACTGTCCACTCTGCCTGTCAAAAAAAAAAAAAAAAAAAAGCAAAAATTGTGGGCCACAGTTCGCCAGCCCCTGAGATGGAGGCTAGGGAGGATGTGCAACACAAAACACTAAAAAAGTAAAAGCAGGTGGGCGACACAGAACAGAAGAGGTTAAATCAAGGAGAAACGGTGAGGCTCTCCATGAAGCTTCCAGAACGAAAGTGAAGAACATAATTGGAGAGAGAAGAGATGGTCTGCTGAATTGGATTCAAACAAATTTTATTCTAGAAGTTCAAAAGGAGAAAGACGACTTAGGGGTTTTAGTTGCCTGAAAAAACTCATGATGAGACCCACAGTGAAATGGAACTGCTTAGAAAATAAAATGTGCTGTAGGGCCCATGAATGAAAGCAGGGTGATCAGAACAAACACACTGATCCTCCTGGGGGTGGGGGTGGGCACCGCTGAGCCCTGTGCACCTGACACATAGAAGTGCTCCTGGAAGTAATGCTTCCCCTGTCTTGCCCTGGCTGGAACAGGCTGGTGGTCTCTGTGGCATCTCTGTGCTGGATTGAAATGTGAAGAAGCTGGAAGGTGAACAGGGAGGTGAGGGGTTGCGTTGGAGGGGGGGGCTCTCAGGCAGAGGAGCAGCACCAGAACCCATGATTCTCTGGCCAAGGCTCGCATCCCTTCAAAATCCCAATTAAAATACAGATTCCTAAAAAGTGAGGGGAGGGGACCATGGGGCTTTCTAAGAACACTCTATTCCAGCTTCATTTGCCCTAAAATGCTCCCTTACCTGATAGAGAAGAAACCAATGTGTTGACATGCTTAAGGAAACATTCAGAGTATTTCACGTGGGGCATAAAGGGAGATGAATTTAAGGAACAAGCGAGTCTACAGTGGGAGTTCTTATAGCTACCAATAATCCGCTTGCAAAGGAACCAATTACATTTGGAGAGGGCTGTGTGCCTGATAAAATAATTAAAAATAAATCGCTCTCCTTGGAAATGCAAATTGCCGAGTGTGAACCCTTTGGCCACACAGACAATAAATAGATGTGTTTTCTCAAGTCTGCGGTGCGGCTTCGATGGATCTCCAATACAGGGTGCAACGTGAGACAACGGGGAGGGAGCCCCAGTGCAGCTGTTGAAAGCCTCAAGCATGACACCCACCTCCTTGAAATTTTCCAGCCTGATAGCTGACCCCCAGGGGCCAGAGTGGACCTCTGCTTCCCCGAACTCTGGCCCTGCTGGCATAGGAGGGGGACGGGACCACTATTAATCCCTGCCCTTCCACACAGCTCCCACCACCCTTGCCACCAGCCACAGCTGCCCCAGGACCCCGTGGACCTTTTGGCAGGGGAGGAAAGGAAACTAGGGGCCCTGGGGGTGGGCAGGGGCATTGCCCCACGGAACAAAACGAAACGAAACACGGTTGCTCCTCAGTGATGACTTAGGAAGTTACAGAGAACAGAAACAGAGGACAGAAAAACTCGGCTGTCAGCTGTCTTAGCCTGTTGTCAATGAGCCAAAATGGATTAAACACCTACTCTTAGGCTCTTGAGTAGGCATTTATAGATGGGCTGGAGGAAGAAAACTGGATTTCTGCCTCCAAAGAAGTTTTAGTCTGGTCGGAGAGGGAGCGCGGAGGCACACGAGAGCTTGTCACGTTCCCAGCTTGTCTTGGCCTCTTACCTGCAGGGGAAGGCCACCTAGGGCCAGTGGGATGGGCTACTCCCGGTGGTGTTCCCAGAGCCATTGGAGAGGAGAAGAGACGGGAGGGGAGGGAGGCCCCCGGGCTTTGCCACAGGGTCTCCCTGCACTGAGAGGCTGTGTGGGGAGGAGCGGGACTTCCGTGAGGGATGGTCTCTGGGAAGGGGGAATGGTGCTGGCTAGCCCCCGGGGTGGGGGAGGTGTGAGGGGACGATGAGGTGATCTACAGCAGCACAAAGCACTGCCCGGCCCTGTGTACACACCCAACAGTGAATGTGCCTGCTCACTGCCAGGGCCACAGCAACAAACAGAATGAGGATCCCTCCCTCCCCTTCCCCCACACCCGGGACTCCGGTGCAAAGGCCTTGCGTCAGCTGCCGGTGCCTCTCGGAGCTCACTGGCCTTCCTCTTCCTCTTCCTCTTGGTCTTCCCTTCTGTCTGTGGTCCTGCCCCCAGCCCCGCCCAGATCGAGCCAGAGGGCCTTTTCTTTCTGCGCCTTGGAACCCAGCGTTGCCACCTTCCTGGCCTTCTGGTATACGCAGAGCAGGGCCAGGAGGAGCAGGCCGCACAGGACGAAGGGGCAGATGAACAGGAAGTAGACTAAAGGGACGGAGGAGCAGATCCTGGAAGAGAACGTGGGCTCTGCAACGAAAGGGGGACCAAGAAAGGGATCATCACTCTCCGCCGGGCTGGTACTCATCAATCATAAATGCTAGCGGCACTTACTGTTACAGGCGAATCTATGAGAAAATAATGGGGCCAAACAGCCCCTGGAGCAGGCTGCTGACACCGGACAGGGAGGGAGGGGGCGCTGCTCTGTTCTCCCCATGCAACCCCCCCACCCCCGGCCCGGCAATTTCCACCGCCCGAGGTGGCAGTGACCTACTTAAAGCCACCAGCCAAAACACAACACAAAACAAAAAAGCAAACCTCTCCTTTCATCTTCTTTCTTGGGAAAAGATATCTATAATTCAGCCCTCATTCTCCACGCTGTTGCCGCTGCTGAATTTTTAACTGAGTTATATTCCCACTGCTGCTCCTGGATCACACGCCACACTGTCCTCCAAACCAGCCGCCTCCACAGCGAGCAGCACCATCTCCGCAACCCGGGGGCCTCCCTCGGGCTCCTGCCCTGTGTGGCTCCCCTGTAGCCAGCGCCCGACCTGTTCCCAGGATCCAATCCTCTGCCTCCTTCCCACCCGGCTGGGACCACTACCTCTGCCCGCTTCCTACCTAGCCCCAGGCACAGTTCCTCTCTTTATCCCCTTTGTTTAAACCTCTTTCCTGCCCTTGTACCGCCTCCTTTGCTTCACTGTAGTTACTTGAGTTTTTCTGATGGTGCCATTGGTTTCCGTATCCCCTGCAGCGCCTAGCACTAGTGCTCCATCGCTTTTGCTGATCTGAATTAAACTGGATCCACAGCAGCCACGTGGACAGCAGGGACTCGGCGCAGGCACGCAGAGGCACAGGCTCAGCGGCAGCTGCTGTCCCCGGGAAGCACCGGCGGCAGCCAGACATGCAGAGCACGCACAGGCCGCCCAACGCGGTTCCTGGCCACACGGCCAGGCAAGCAAAGGCAGGCAGGACAGCAAACACCGCAGGTTCCCGGAAATAATATTCTTGAGCCGCTGGTCAAAGGACTAGGCCTACAGTCTCTTGAAACAGAAAGATACATGCTTAAAGGGACACTAACTACTAAATAGGGTCTTTGAACTACTATATGTATTTGTGTCACAGTATTTGAAATTGGATGTTCTGGCCAGCGCCGCGGCTCACTAGGCTAATCCTCTGCCTTGCAGCGCTGGCACACCGGGTTCTAGTCCCGGTTGGGGCGCCGGATTCTGTCCCGGTTGCCCTCTTCCAGGCCAGCTCTCTGCTGTGGCCAGGGAGTGCAGTGGAGGATGGCCCAAGTGCTTGAGCCCTGCACCCCATGGGAGACCAGGAGAAGCACCTGGCTCCTGCCATCGGATCAGTGCAGTGCGCCAGCCGCAGTGCACCGGCCGCGGCGGCCATTGGAGGGTGAACCAACGGCAAAGGAAGACCTTTCTCTCTGTCTCTCTCTCTCTCACTGTCCACTCTGCCTGTCAAAAAAGAAATTGGATGTTCAGAAAATTCTGACGCTAACAGTAGCTGAGCTTTTACAGGGTGGGGGGCATTGGAATGATAGAAGCCATTTCTTCTTCAAAGGTGAAGCTACAGGATTCCTGGGATCATGTACTCTTAGAGACGAGAGCAGCTTTGGAGGTCATTTTTGACCAGTCTTCTGCTACAAGAATTCCATTTTTGGCCTACATGTGAGAAAATGTCTCTTTGATGGCAGTCAAGGAAGAGTCTAGAAATTCGCTCAACTCCTGCATTGTGAGCTTCTTGAGCGGAGGGCCTGTGTTCTGCTTGTCTTTTCATTGGGGGCAGCAACTTTGTCCACGGGGCTTCAGTGGAGCCCAGTGAATAAATCCGTTGCACAAGAACATTGCATACGTGGGAACGCAGGGGTGGCGGTCATCCCATTCCGCAGGTGAAGGTCATCACCGAGCATTGGGCTGGCAGCTCTGAACCAGGTTAGCAAAGAGCTGCAGAGGTTTGTGCTGGGATTGTCTCTGGGCTCCTGTGTATTCTCCAATCAAATCTGGTTTATCTTTGTGGCAGGGTGAACAATGAGTAGGCTAGATTTCAAATTCTTACCATTCTCTCTCCACACCTGACCCAACTCCGCTCCCAAATGACCCATCTTGACTATAGTTATTCTCCCAGGTCTTGTCTGAGTACATTTGAGGGCCTGTGGGCCCTGCAATGCCGAAAGAGAATGGAGCCAGGGTCCAGCTGTTGAGATCATTGGTCTTGGGCATTCTACAGAGAGTACTAAGTGAGCACCTAGCGGGTCTCAAAGAGAACTGGGTTCAAACCCTCGCTCTCAACTTATTATTGATATTGAATAAGTTAGTTGTCTTCTCTAATTAGTTTCCTGGTCAACCAAGTGGAGATACTGCTTTCTAGAGTTGTGATGAGCTAATGGATAATACAGCACTGAACATAGGACAGACAGCACTCGTTGACCAGCAAGCAATAAGCCTTAGCTAAAATGCTGCTGAGAAAGTTACGGGACAGGAGAATCACAAGCAATCTTCTCTTGAGAGACCAGACAGAGAACAGGGCCAGAGTCTGCTGATTTCTCACAAAGGGACCACAAGCTTGGCCACGTTCCTCCCCAGGCTCAGTCTGTCTTTTAGACCTTTGTCCCCAGACCAAGGTGACGTTCACCTGAGAATCAACGACTTAGCAGGCGCTGGCTCTTCTAGTTACAGGAGGCAAAGAATTGTAAGGCCAGAGTCCGTGGCACCAAGTATCATAGTTGCCGAGATGATGGTGATCATAATGACAGGATGGGACCAGTACCCCAGAGACAGGAAGAGATCTGATACTGTACACTTCCGCCCCGAGACCTCAGCTGGATGGGGCTGCCAGAGGGCTTGACACTCTTAAGGGGAGGTGGAGACGGCTTCAGCTACGGTGCTCTGCCATCAAAGGCAGGCAGAGTGTGCTCTTCACAGTGCTGCACTGGCCAACAGTAGCAAGTTTCAGCTCCAGTGTTTCTGAATTCCTTCTCCTGGAGGGTAGTGTTTGCTCTGGATCTCACAAATCACCATTCCCCACCATCTGCCTCTCACCCATATCTGGACTAGAACTAGGGACATTCCAAACCATTAAGGTTTGGCACTTTGAATCAATCCAAGTAAGTGCCCAATGCTCAAAGTACAAGGCCTGCAAAACAGAGCCAAAAATGTAATGAGAACACTTCATCATGAGGTTTAGCGCGTAACTTGCTTCTGCCCACAGCTAAACATAGCACAAGGAGCACTCCTTTTTTATATTGGCCTAGAAATACTTCAGAAGAAGAGAGCTATGGAATAACAACTTCTTCTCACCAGCAATCCAAAACTTGAGCACCTAACTATGCCCTGTGTAGCCATGCAGGTAAGTTGGCTCCTGTCAAGGAAACAGATGAGGCACGAGGTAACCTGGTAACAAGTGCATCCCAGAATAAGTGCACCCCCGACAGCATCCTGTTTCAACACTATTGAAGACTTGAACAGACAACTCTAGTTTTGTTCTTTCACCAAGAATTTGTTGAGGGGGCCAGCTCTGTGGCGAAGCGGGTAAAGCAGCCGCCTGCAGTGCTGGCATCCGATATGGATGCTTATTCTAGTCCTGGCTGCCCCACTTCCGATCCAGCTCTCTGCCATGGCCTGGGAAAGCAGCGGAACATGGCCCAAATCATTGGGCCCCTGCACCTGCGTGGGAGACTTGGAAGAAGCTCCTGGATCCTGGCTTCATATCAGCCCAGCTCTGACTGTTTAGGCCATTTGGGGAGTGAACCAGCAGATGGAAGACCTCTCTCTCTCTCCCTCTCCCTCTCTCTCTACCTCTGCCTCTCTGTAACTCTGCCTTTCTAATAAATAAATAAATCTTAAAAAAAGAAAAGAATTTGTTGAGTGCTACATAAAAGGCCTTATTGGAGGCACTGTATGTCTAGAAAAATGGCATGGTGTCTCTAGAAACTCCAGTGAGACTGCAACACCTATTAGCTTCAAGGATACACTTTCTGAATAAATCCTCATGCAGATAAAAGCTGGGAATAGTCATACGCACCTCACTACTACAAATAATTGAGTCTTTGGGAAGCCTTATGTTCTGGCCTATTAATAACAGAGAATTCTCTAGGATAAAACATTTATGTTTAGAGTCTGAGAGTTAGGTAAAAAGACCCAGACAACTCTAGTCCCTTCCTTGGCTTAGTCAATAGTAAGCAAGTAAGATAGGGAGGAAAAGGCAAGATCCTTTCCCCCAGGAAATACCTCTGAACTTTGCTGCTGTCACTTGTACAACCACATGCTATAAAGTTCTGGAATGTAGTCCTAAAATGAGGCCAAATAGAGTGGGTAGGAAATCATTTGAGGGCGCTGGTACTGTAGCGTAGAAGGTTAAGCCTCTGCCTGCAGTGTCAGCATCCCATATGGGCACTGGTTCAAGTCCTGGCAGCTCCCTGCTAATGCACCTGGGAAACCAGTGGAAGATGGCCCAAGTCCTTGGGCTCCTGCACCCACATGGAGACTCAGAAGAAGCTCTTGGCTCCTGGCTTCAGCTTGGCCCAGCTCCAGCTATTGTGGCCACCTGGGGAGTGAACCAGAAGATGGGAGATCTCACTCTCTCTCTCTCTCCTCTCTGTATCTCTGCCTTTCAAATAAATAAATAAATATTTAAGAAAAAAATATCACTTGAGAAGTGCAAATTAGTACTATGTTATATTTGACCCGGATCTTATTAACACATAGACCTGGTACCCACCTGGAGGCAATCCCACTGAGATTCTGTAAGTATTTAAGATCTGCTGTGATCTAGGCACTGCGTTAGTACTGGCAACAAGATGCTCACATCATTGCCTCTCAGAATGGATGGTCCAACAATGGTGATGGATGTTCAACCGGCAATTGCAGGTGTAAGGACTAAGGAAAAGGTAAGTCACTAAAACTGGCAGCTTAGCTGATAGGCAAAGGATAGCAGATACTGACCTAGGAATGACAGCACGGGGGTTCCAGTGTGGCACTCGTTCAAAGCGAGAGGCCACTCAGTCCCAGCTACTCTCCTCTACTCGGCACCTTCTCCCTTCCCACTGACCCTTCCCCCTCTGGAACATACACGTCCTCAAGTTCTGGCCATCTTGAAACCAAGACGGAAAAGAAGCAGGGCTGAAACACGGATGAACACCTGCCACCGCTTGTTACTGCCTTTTCTCTTTTCCTTTCTATCGAAGCTCTCGATAGAGTCATCTGCACTTGACGTGTCCACTTGCTCGCTCCTCGAGCCGTGCAGTCTGACTCCTCTCATTCCTTTTCTGTAATTGTCCTGTATCGCCAAGCCCAGCAGCCACTTTACCTCGCTCCTCTTAATTGACCCCTGCGCAACAGTTCGATGCGCTGACGCCCCCTCCCTCGGGATACCCTCTCTGCCTTGGTTTGCTCTGATGTCGTCAGTACCACTTCTCGCATCCCTCAGCCTCTCCTTTCAGTCTCTTTCCCTGGTCTTCCTCTCCATTCCCCTAACAAATGCTGCCATGTGGAAGTCCTGATGAGCCTCTGACAGCTCCCCTCTGACAACTCACAGGTACTCCAAGCTCAATCCCAGATCAACTTACCCAGAACTGAACTAATGCCCCTCTAAACCTTTCTCCTGGGTTACCTCGCCTATAAATAGCTCCAGTCTCCACCTAAGCCACCAACCATTCATCCTTGATTTTCCGTTCCAGGCATCCACTCTCTGCATATATGTAATCAGTTTTTAAATCTTGAAGATTCTCTCTCTTAATAGTTAATGCCTGGCCGGTGCCGCGGCTCAATAGGCTAATCCTCCACCTGTGGCGCTAGCACACCCGGTTCTAGTCCCTGTTGCTCTTCTTCCAGTCCAGCTCTCTGCTGTGGCCTGGGAGTGCAGTGGAGGATGGCCCAAGTACTTGGGCCCTGCACCCTATGGGAGACCAGGAGAAGCACCTGGCTCCTGCCTTCGGATCAGCGCGACACGCCGGCCGCAGCAGCCATTGGAGGGTGAACCAATGGCAAAAGGAAGACCTTTCTTTCTGTCTCTCTCTCTCTCACTGTCCACTCTGCCTGTCAAAAAGAAAAAAAAAATAGCTAATGCCTGCCCTTCTCTCAGTCGGCACTGGCACCATCTTAAGTCTGGCCCTTGTCTCATCTTGCCTCCCACAATCTCAAACAGTCCTCTCGCTCTGTCTGCCTCCCCTCCGACTCATCTGGAACACTGCTCCCAGCTGAGCGTTCTCAAATGCGAATCTCATGATGTCACTCCCCCGCTGGAGCTTGTTCAATGACACTGTGTGTGTGTGTGTGTGTGTGATGTTTGGAGACATAAAGGGAAAAGGAGTTACCATTTGTGGACTGCACTAGATACTTTATGTACATTTGTGCACTGATGCTCATTTTATGAGAAGGCAGAGGCTCACAGAGGTCAAGTAACCAGGGTGTGATTTCGTGGCTAGTAAGCTGTAGAGACGTGAGGCTTATCTGGCTCCACCCCTGGGGGGTTTTCATCATCCTGTTTGGTCTCCTCAACCACTGGAAAGGAACAGCCTGGTGGAAAATCCGAAGTTCTAACTCGTACTGGGGAGACTGCCTTGAGAACCTTGACAGTAGTTACACTGAAAATCCTCGGTTGGTCACGGCACAGGCTTTTGAGCTTTTGCAGCTATGAAGAATGCAAAGATCACTCAATTTTTAAGGTTTCACATTCAGAGCTCATCTTTTTAAAATGTTACTCCTGTTTTCCAAGTATTCTGCCGACATTAACTATATATATTTATATATAAACTTCATATTATATATATATAGTATATATATTATGAAGGATCCCAACTGCCTCAGAGGAGATGTGCATTTTAGTCACAGAATAGATACTTTTTACAGTTATTATCTACTTATTCTACTGCCAAAACTGCTGCTTCTCCAGAGCCCACGAATCCCAGTGGGAAAACATGTACGGAATGTGCTCCGGGGTGTGGGGCTTCCTGTGATTGTTGGAATGGAGGGAAGGCTGGCAGGGAGAACAATTCTGCTGAAGACTAGATGTGGGGAGAAGGAGACGGTGCCCCAGGGAATGCATCAGCCAGCTCTGAACTCACTACTGAAGCCTGGCTGCAGTTGTCCCCACTTTGGGAAGTCTTATCTTTCCCTCCTGGGCTCTCCAAAGCTAGCAGGAGTCTTTGGAATCTTACCTTTACTGGACATGACCTGTTATCCTTCCTGGTGTGGACACGAGACCACACCTCCACTTCTCCAGTGGTCTTTCCCACAGCTGGTTTAGCGTCTAGATCATCTCTCGCTTCTCCTTGAACCCCACTAGAAAGACCTGGCTGAGAGAACACACCTGGCTACAACACCTGCCTGCTGATCACCAGAGAAGACATCCTGGCCCGGCTGGAGACATTTCGGCTTTCATTAACAAGTGCTTAGTCAATGCCTATCATATGCCTGGCCCTGGCCTGCTCCTCCATCCCAGTCACCTGTGCCACACCTTCCTGAAGCACCCTGCTGATAGGATGACCTTCATTCTAGAGAAAGGTCACCCTTTGGCCAATAGCCTTGAGATGCTGCCCTCCTTGCTGGAGCCCATAAAGAAGTTCCATAGGGCACCCTGGCTTCCTTGATGCTTTCAAGGCATAGTTAGAAGAGGGGCACCAAATGACCATCATGGGCAAAGTCCTGGTGGCCCCAGGAGGTTGGCATGTATTCATTGAGGAGGGACTAAGGGAGCCCTTAGATATGTAGTTGGCCTTGGTTCCATCAGATCAGCATGTAAAGTCCCCGTCTCCCTCTCCCTCCTACAACCAGGTGGAGATGAAAGGATCAGCCAAGAGACAAGGCTGTCTGCGTCCCACATTATTTGGTTCCTCAAAGGGACAATGACATTGGTGACACGTTTGTTTGGGAGAAGAAGGGCAAGCAGGTCAGATGCCCTTGATAATTGAACAACTATGCAAAAACCTCATTTAGACTTTGTTCAAAGGAGTCACTGTTGAGAGAGATAGCAAAATTACTGTCTTTAGGAAAACATGTCTTCAGCCCCATGGAGGAGCAATACCTAGTTGGGAGGGAAAGCTGCAGAGAGCCCAATACCCTCTCGCTCCCCAGCTCATGCAGGTGAACCCCAGTACCTGAGGGCAGCACGGTGAGCATCATGCGCTGTGACTCAGCTGACGCTTGGCTGGCCCATTTGCTCGACTGCCCATGTAGCTGCCACTCTGCCACCCTGCACCAGTACATGCCAGCATCTGCCAGCTCCACCCGGTGCAGCTTCAGGACAAAGTCCGCAGGGGCTGAGCGGTAGCAGTGCAGACGGCTCTGGAGCGCCTCTTCCCCATACTCCAGCAAGCCATCATGGTGCAGGTGCACCAGCATTTTACTTCCGGAATGCTCTCTGTTCCAGTACCAGATCACGGAGTACAGGGCAGCTGGGCCGCCCGAGTTCTCCAGGCCACAGCGCATGGCCACCTCTCTGTGCTCAGTGGCGTTTGCTGTCCAGTCCACCTTGGAGACACGGATATTACTTCCTAGGAAACAAATGGCAGTAAGTTAGAGAAGAATGCACACGTTCAAACTGGACATGTCCTCTGAAAAATCGTTTCTCCATGGAGAAATCCAGGAGAGGAGAAGGGGAGCTAGGGCCAGAGTGAGATACCATCTGTTAATTCCCTCCTCAAATGCCTGGGACCGGGCCAGGCCGAAGCCAGCAGCTGGGAACAATCCAGGTCTCCCACTTGGGTGGCAGGGACCCAGCTCCTTGAGCCATCTCTGTTGCTTCCCGAGGCAGCTGGAGTGAGGAGCTAGAGCTGAGAGTCAGCCTCGGGCACTCTGATACGGGTGGGGGCATCTTCCTTGGGATCTTAGTCACTGCACCAAATATCTACCTTCCATGCTTCATCCTTAATACTTTTCCTTGACCCCTGGCCTTCTTTCACATTTGCCAGAACATTCTCTACTAAGAACCAAACCAGTCACTTCCTTTTTTAACCTGACCTCTTGCCTCTTGGACCTACCACTGAGCAACACCCAGCTTGAACTGGGCCCCCTCGCCTGCAGCTTCCACCTCGTCCTCGCAGATTCTCTTGCTGCTCCACTTCCCAGAGGGGCCGTCTGTGACTCTGCACCTCTGCAGTTGTGTATTCCACCACCACCCCTCCTCCCACACCTGAGGACTGTCTCCTGTGTGACCGGACATTTTGATGCAAGTATCAGAATACTACCCAGGGGAACCATTCAAATGATTTGGGTGTTTACTTTTTTTTTTTTTTTTTTAAACAAGGGAGTGGACTGCAGAATGATAGGGCTACCTGTTTTTGTTTGTTTGTTTTTAAGATTTATTTAGGAGGTGGCACTGTGGTGCATTGGGTAAAGCCACTGCCTGCTGTGTTGGCATCCCATATGGGCGCCGGTTCATGTCCCAGCTGCTCCACTTCCGATCCAGCTCTGTGCTGTAGCCCGGGAGGGCAGTAGAAGATGGCCCAAGTCCTTGGGCCCCTGCACCCATGTGGGAGACCTGGAAGAACCTCCTGGCTCCTGGCTTCGGAACAGTGCAGCTCCAGCCATTGTGGCCAACTGGGGAGTGAACCAGTGGATGAAAGACCTATCTCTTTCTGCCTCTCCTTCTCTCTCTGTGTAACTCTGACTTTCAAGTAAATAAATAAATTAAAAAAAAAAAGATTTACTTATTTCATTTGAGATAAATAAGAGAGAGAGATCTTCTGCTCCCTGGGTTAACTCCCCAAATGATTGCAACAGCCAGGGCTAGGCCAGGCCAAAGCCAGGAGCCAGAAGCTTCATCCAGGTCTCCCACGTGGGTGGCAGGGGCCCAAACACTTGGACCATTTTCGGCTGCTTTCCCAGGTGCATTAGCAAGGAACTGGATGGGAAACAGAGCAGCTGGGACACAACCCGGCACCCACATGGGATGCCAGCGCTGCAGGCGGTGGTTTTCCCCACTATGCCACAGCACCAGCCTGGCACTTATTTTGTCTTGCCCCTGCTAATCAGTAGGTGAGGACTTGGAAAGACATTCAGAGTAGGTACAAACGAAATGAAGAAATTTTAGGGTGTGCTAAATTCCCATTCCATGACAAACATATTTACGAGTTTCCTTTTAAAAGAACAGCTTTGTCTGATCTTGGGCTTTTTTAGTTACTAGCGTTGCTCTCTCCTTTTCTTCCCGGAAAAGTATGTACAGGAGTAGGTTCCTATGACACTGTCTCTGTCTCCTGGCCTCAAACCCTCCCGACTTCGTTGCCATCTGGCTTCCTGCCCCATCCCTGTCCTTGGCCAGGGCCTGGTGAGCCAGGTCAGGGGAAGCTCCAGTCTTTCTCTTTCTTTTCTTGTCTGTGATTTTTATCACTGGCACCCCTTTCCTTCTTGAAATTCTCTTCTCTTTTGACCTCAGGGAAAACTTCCCTCCTCCAATTCTAACCGATTCTTCTCAATTTCTCCTCCAGGGGCTTCTTCCTTAACTCATTCTCTACATCAGAGAATTGGCAACCCACATCACATCAACCCACAGACATATTTTGTGTGATACCTACAGTATTTCATTTTTTAACTTGAGAGGCCGAGAAAGAACTCCCATCTGCTGATTCATTCCCCAAACGCCTGCAACAATCAGGCCCAGGCCTGGCTGAAGAAGGGAGTAGAGAACTCAGTCCAGGTCTCCCCTGTGGGTGTAAGGGACCCAGTTACTTGAGCCATCTCCAGCTGCCTCCCAGGATGCACATTACCAAGCAGCTGGAACCAGGAACTGGAGCTGGATATCGAGCCCAGTACTCTGGGAATGTACTATAGTACTATGTACTATGTACTATGGGAAGTGGGCATCTTCACTCAATCTTCACCACTCGGCTAAATGTCCACCCCTACCTACAATATGTTAAAAGACTTAGGATTAACAGTGAATGTGATTGTAGCTACCTCTTGAATGTACAAGAGATCTGATAGCATTGAGCCCACATTTCTACATGGGCAGCATTGGCTTGAGCTAAACAGTGGCCGTCTCCTAAAAGGGGGCATACACACAAGGGTAAGACTCTGGCTTAGACAGCTGGAAACACAGCCTAACTACCATATTGCCCTTGGGTGGCGAGTGTCTTAAGGGCAAGAGCTGGCCCTGTGTACCTTTGCATACCCACTACCTAATGCACAGTAATGTGCAATTATAATCTTATTTGTTTATTTGAGAGACAGAGAAACCTTCCATTTGTTGGTTCACTGCCCCAAATGCCCACACCTGGACTGGGCCAGGCTGTAGCCGGGAGTCAGGAACACAATACAAGTCCCCCTGATGGTTGGCAGGGACCCAACCAAGTACTTGAACCATCTTCTGCCACCTCTCATGGTGTGCATTAGTAGGAAGCTGGAATCAGAAGCCAAGTCAGGACTCAAACCCGGGCTCTGAGATATGGGATGTGAGTATTTTAACAGCCAGGCTAAATGCCTGCCTCATAATCTTATTTTTATTTTATTTTTTTTTGATGCTGCCTTGAAAATAGAATTTTAAGCATGAAAGTAGACCGATTTGTTTGCATTGTGCTACTGGAGCTTGTCCAATTGCTGAACCTTAGCTGTGACATTCATTTAATTTTAATCAACACTGGAGGTGACCTGACCAATGCTGTGAGACCTAATCAACCCTGTCCACATTGAGACTGGTGCAAATGGATGGCACTCCCATTGCATTTTTAAAGATCTCCTGAGGAAGAGGAGATTCCCTCAGCAAGCCATTCCAATGGTTAACTACTCTTATTTGCCTTATGTTTAGGCAGCCAAATGTTGAAAAGCAATTTCTCCACACATCCCCATAGAGTTGTACAGTTTCTGTTCACAGTGGGAGAAATATGCTTCGTATTACTCTTTCTCAGCCAAATTACAGTAGAGCCCCACTGGAATGACACAGCTTGTTATTACAGAGATCCGGAGATACGATACCCTGGGTAGCTGCAGAGACCAGGCTGCCAGGCTGAGAAGCAAACCAATCACAGGGATCTTGTACCCATCTGAGCTCCTAGAACCCTCTGATGGGTTCACCTTGAGTGACCTCACCTCCTCCAGTGAACTACTAGGTCCCACAATCATTGGTGAGTAGACACCATCCCTAGAACTCCAGGCCATATTTTCACTTCCATATAAGTGAAAATCTTAACCATCACACCATAGGATAGCTGACCAAGCAAAGATGGCAGTCCTAGAGAAAGACCCTTGAGAATTCATGCATGGTTTTTTTCTAATACACATTTTCCATGAACTTTTGAAGATCCATCCTATGCATGAGTTTCAAATTATTTGCACCAAAGTTAGTTTGCCTTTTGGATGTACTTTTGTATACACACAAGGTTTACCTGTGGGCTTGAGTCTCAATTGTGTTAGTCCTGACTTCTCGCTCCCAAGCTTGTGCCAAGTGCTATTTGTAGACAAGAGCCATTCTTCCACAGCACAGTGATAGTCACCCTGGTCGCTGTCATCTACGCCCAGAATGTGCAGCTGAAACAAATCTTGGGAAACCTTCTCAGCGTGAAATTTTTGTTTCCTCCAAGGGGTGTGAAATTCATCCCCATATTTTATAACATTGGTTTGGTCCACTTCCAGGATCCTCAGCCAGGATGCATTCGTGGAAATAGGAGAGAAATACCAAATAACAACCAACTGGAGGTTTCCAGTGGACCAGGACAAAATGCTACATTCTATTTTGGTGTTGGAGTTGATGGCGATCTCTTGGACTTGGCTACTTGAATTCACTTTTAGCTTGCTCACTAAAGTAAAAGAATGGAAGCATTTACTTTGCTAGAAAACAGACTCTGAAGGTAAAAGGGTTATTAGAGAGCAACTAGGGCAATTCTTCCTATAGAATCCACAACAGCCCCACTAAGGGGACAGCTCCCCACTTACCAAGCAGCCCATTCCATCTGCAGGCTGCTCTGCCACCAGAGAGAACTCTGGCTGGTATCAAGGTGAGTTTTCTCTCTTCCTAACTCCACACACTGGTCCCAGTCCTACCCTTGCTGCAGAGAAAAGCCCCATCTCTTTCCCACGAGCTAATGCTTCAGTATTTAAGCACAACTGTCCCTTTGGTAGCATTTCAGGCATCAGGTCAAGGGGAAACAGCACTAGTAAGCTTCTGTATGTTCACTACCCGCAGTACTTCTGGTTCCACAGTTTGCCACATTTTGCTTGTATCTGCCTTCAAACATGGACAAACGAAAGGAAGCTGTATATGGGCTGCTAAAATTGTATGTCTCTTTGCAGCCACTCAGTCCACTATCTCCTAACCTCAGCAACTTTTCTGCTTTGTCAGAAAGATGGGCAATACACCTTTCTTCCAAATCTTATCCTAATTTCTTGCTGGCGTCACTGATTCTACTTTTGTAATAGCTTCTTGATTTGCCAGTAGGTTCCTTTCTTCAACAAACATTTATTAAGTGCATTTGACACTGTGTGCCAGACTAGCCCAGAGCCTGTGGATACCTCCCCTCAGCGGCTCGCAGTTAGAAGGAGAGACATATACAGGGACAGAGGCTTAGAGTTTACAGCATCATGTCACCCTGTGGGACAGGAATGAGGAGAAGTGGCTATCAGAGCACATGAAAGGACCATACAACCCAGATGTAGAAGTGACAAAGACTTCCTGGAGGAGGTGACTCTGAGCTAAATCTTATAGGTTCGTGGAAATAATTGTGATGAAGAAGGGGTTAAAGAATTCCGCACAAAGGAAGCGACTTGAACAAAGACTTTGAACGGGAACATTGGATATGGCAGAACTGCAAGTAATTCAGTGTGGCTGGAGCTTAAATTCAAGACAGAAAGTGGAAGAGGGTGCTGGAAAAGCACAAATGTACCAGTTATAGAGGACCTTGCAGGGCAGCCCAGGGGAGTTAGGACATAAGGTGCACATGGAGGAGCTGTGATGACTCAGGTTTCCAACACGGGTTACTAGTGGGTAGTGGAGACAGGAGAACCATGTAGAAGAAGTAGCTCTGGATAACGGCGGGCCTGTGTTCTGCCCTAGTGAGTGTACACATGTCCTGGAGGCAGTTTGAATCTGGAGATCAGAAGAGAAGTAAGTGCTTGAGGATAATGGACTGGGGAGTTGTCAGCATGTGGATGGCATCTACCTTGGGAGAGTACAGTGGGCAGAGAACAAACTGAGGATGAAACCCAGAGGAACAGTTTCCTTTCATAATGAATTAGAGGAGGACGTGACTTTTGCAAAAGAGGATGAGAAGGGACACACAGTGTTAGAAAGCAGCCAAGAGACTCTGGTGTTATGGGGCCAAGAAAAAGAGAAGCTTCAAGAAGAAAGGCGTGGGACACCACATCAATACCACAGACAGCATAAGTAAATTAAGGCATGAAGTCATAAGAAAAGGATCACTTCTAGTACCAAAAATATTACCCAGCAGCAGAGAGAATATGATAGCTACCATGTTCAAGCATGAGCTTGGTGTGTTCAGCCCTGTACTAAGCATGTCAGATATGTTATCACATTTAAATTGCACATCAGCAATTCACAGTTGAAGTAACCAAGGCTTGAACAGATTAAGTGACTTTTCTATGCTGCTATTCAATGCTTGTCTGATCTAAATGATTTCAAAATCTCTCAATCGCTCTGTCCTAAGAGAATGCAAATTACAAGATAGAAGATACATGACACAGCCAAACTTTGCCTAGGTTGTGTTTTACTTTTAACCAATTGATAAGGTAGATTATACTTGATTGTAATCCTAAATTCTTTGATTATCATACACTAACACATTAAAAAGAGGTGGATGAATGCGTTCTAATGGAATTACATTATCCCTACTACTAGGTAAGACAGTCTAAACAACAAATAACTGGTAAGGCATGGGCAAAAACCAAGCTAAAAGATTTTTCTCTCTCCTGGATCCGGGCCCTCGGGGACCCCTGCCGTGCACCATGGTACCCTTTAGTTGCCACGTGGATGGAGCTCACAGGAAGACGGGGAAGGGACACAGTACGGTGGTTATCATTGGCCAGTATAGAAGGATTTCAATGCTTGAACAAGCAACATGGGCATCCCATGCATACTAACTTAACGTTGACCTGGATGTCGCTCATCACGTGATGCCTACTTACACGACACCAGCATGGCAGCAGGTATTCAACACTGTATCCCTGTGACTTCCCCAGAACGGGAAGAATACTTCCCAACAAGAAGCAGGGATGAATTCCCAGTGGTGCTCATACCTGGTAAGACAATGTGTACCCTCACCGGGTGAGAGATGGCAGAAGCCCTCACAAACCCATTGGTGAGTAGGGCGTTTCTGTCATGAACTTCCACTTTACACCTGTACATGCCTATCTCTTCCTCAGTGGCATCGTAGATTTGGAGTTGAGAGCGAGATGAAGACTGTGAGATCTTTGTCTTCCTATGGAACTGGGGTAGGGTATCTCCCCACTCAATAGTGCCATTGTGGGAGATCCGAATGAGCTGCTGGAAGACAGGAGACCTAGTCGGCTGGAACTGCCATGTCACAGACAGCGGTAGGCTGAGCTCCGAATAGCCAGTCGTAACGATGCAGGCCAAGTCAAAGGTGCTGGCTAACGTCACTTGAGGTTGACGGATCATCAGATTCACTTGTAGACTTGACTCTGCACACAGAAAAGCAAAATATAACCTCTACCATGTTTCCCAAATCAAGTGCAGTACTTCCAAATTTTTCTCATTGCTACCTCTCCACATTGGACCATGCATTTGTGTATTTGGAGTGTCATACATTCTGGGTAGACATTGGTTCACAGGTCTGAATTCTGACCTCCGTTTTCCAAAGTTGACCCCTTCTAAGACTGCTCCCAGCAGTGACAACAAGTAGGCAGTGTCTCTCCAGTCTGGGAATTGGACGGCTGCTGCTGGGTGGGTGGAGCTGTCCCCACCCCAAGGCTGCCTTCCTTCCCCTCCCCCCAGCATGGGTACAGTATGAGAACCCTTTTGCATGTGCTAGAAGAAGCTGCAATGCCAGGAGAATAGCAGTCAAAAGCCAGAATGTGTAAGGCACAGCTACATTTCTCCAATACATAGGAATGTTTTTAACCTTGAACAACTCACAAGTTGCACTCTAAAGATGATCTTTATGAAGATGAATAAGCTTTGGAGATCAATTGGCAGAGCCTGCAGCTAGAGCCTGCACTGGGTCCTAGGGTACACACACCATAACCGGGGGGTTCAGGATGACACACAATCAAATTCCACAGCAGAATGACGAGGCTGACGCCCGAGTTCAGAAACGATCCCTCAGACACTTACGCAGGGACTTTACGGTAACCGCAGTCCTCTGAGCCCAGCTCAGATCGCTGGCCGGGTTCCAGGTCCGCTCAGACACTCTGCACTCATACGTGCCACTGTCCACGACAGCGGTGGAGGTGATCTCCAGCTGAAAGGTGGCCCAGTCGCCTTTCTCCAGCCTTGTGTTGCCATGGTTACTGGGTCCCCCAGAGGAGGCTCCCAGCTGCACAGTGCCATCCTGTGCCATAGCAGCCACCAGCTCGGGCTGGGTCTGATCCTGCCGGGTACGCCACCAGCTCACAGACAGCGGACTGGCAGCTCCCCCCACCCTGCAGAGAAGGGTGAGCGCCTCTCCTTCCCACACAGGCTGCTGCTTGTTCTTGGCCGACACTTCCACACTTCTCGCTGCGGGGTTCAGATTTTAAAAGAAAAGAGGGTTTCAGTAAACAAAACATTTTCTAAAGCACATTCAAATCTCATTTATTGGCACTTAACTGGCTTGTGATAAACTAGATCTGGCTGCTTCCTCCTGTACCACCTCCAGAAAAAAGATTTACTAAACACTTAAAGAGTGGGAACAAGATAGCAGCAAGCGTATCAGGAAGGTCTCTTTACCCTTACGTAACTGATCATTTGCGTGAATTTTCTACCAGTTTGTTAAACCAGCCCTTCCTTAGAAATATCTAGTTGGGCAAACATCTGGTGAAATTGTGCATCAGATTAATTGGGGGCAGGGTTTGAGTCTGGAAGTAATAAAGCTATTTTTATTTAAATTCTTATTTTCAAACTCATACCTTCAGCTTCAAAATGATCCTCCTCTTCCTACTTATCTTTCCCTAATTAATTCTAATTAGTTTAGAATATGTTTTAAATAAAGAATGAACATTATAATATCTCTGTTTACAATACTACCATAAAAATAATTACTAGAGGGGTCGGCGTTTAGGTGTAGTAGGGTAAGCATCTGCCTGCAGCACCAGCTTTCCATATGGGCGCTGGTTCGAGTCCCGGCTGCTCTACTTCCAATCCAGCTCTCTACTGATGGCCTGGGAAAGCAGTGGAGTTTGACTCAAATGCTTGTGCCCCTGCCTCCACATGGGAGATCTGGAAGAAGCTCCTGGCCTCGGATTGGCTCAGCTCTGGCTGTTGCAGCCTTTTGGGGAGTGAAACAGCAGATGGAAGACTTCTCTCTCTGTGTCTGCCTCTCTCTGTAACTATGTCTCTCAAGTAAATAAACCTTTAAAAAAATAATTACTGGGGGGGGCACAATTGGGGGAAAATATGTAGATATAGGTGTACGTATATGTCTATATGTTTATACATATATGTATACATCTGCATATATCTGTACATGTTGCTAACAGGAGAAGCTGCTTATGTCTGAACTGCAGTGTAAAACATAAATGTATGAATGTAAGACTGGCTCTCAGATGGGAAATCAAAGATGTGCAGAAATGCAGACATTCGCTCAACAATCACTCATTGTGCAGCATCTTGTGTGGTTGGAGGCCACGTAGAGACACATCAGGAGCTCAGGCGTCCTGGGCAGCCCAGCAACATGTGTGAGGCCACTGTCCCCGGAGTCGCAATTACCCCGGCAACATACTGGCTCTTTCTGAGCCTCAGTTTCCTTTCCTGTAAATATAAGGACAATAATAGCACCCAGCCTACTGCATTGTTGAAGAAGTGACACCTGCCAAGGGCTTAGCCCAGCTGGCTCAGGGCAAGTTCTCGGTGAAGGTTAGCTATTAGCATCCGCGTTTAAAATGACATGCACCTGCGAAAGAAGAGGTAGTTTAAAGCAAATGAGAAAAGCAAACTAGAACTGGCATTAGAACTCCAAAGAGGGTCTAAATCAATGTGCAAATTGCTCTTCCCTGCTGAGGGAGGAGTTCAGTCTTTGTTTTATGTATACATATACTTTAGTTACAAAGACAGAATGGAGGTTAATGTCTAAAAGTAGGTCAACAAAATTAGCAAACTTGTTCCCAAACTTTGTGTGTTAGAAGCATGATTATACTTTAAAATTTCTTCAAGTTAGACTCATAACTGAAGTTTAGAAATTAGAGGTGGAAATTATTACTCATATTCTCACCACCTTAACATAACCATTATATGTTCCAACTAACATCATTAAAAAAAAAAAAAAACCAATGAGGTTTCCTTAGTTCATTGTGGTCATGATTGCCTCTTGCTAAGACATAATAAACTTGCTAAGCGTGTGTGAGGTACAGTGGTGATGGGTGTAGTGAGTGTCTCCTTTTGTTTAAAATATGCATGGAATGATAATACTGTCCTCCTACTTCAAATAGTGGAGCAGAATGCTAAATAGGGTCCTTCATAAATTTGCTAGTAATGTTTCCTGCTCATGTGAAAGGCTATTTTCAGCGCTGGGAGATGCCCCCGCTGTTGGGGCGAGCAGCTGTGTACCGTGAAGCACACCTTTGCACATCGCTGGCACAAATCTCCACCTGCCGGGTGAAGAAAGAAAGCCTGCAGCTTGTTCTAAGGGAGGCTGAGATGCACGAAGCAGAGCTTCAGCTCTGTGTAAATATCCAAACCCGCCTACACTGTTTCTCCTGAATCCTAGAAAGTCAGACCAAATGCTGAGTGTGAAAACTACACCAACACACTTCCTGGCCTGCCACTCTACCCCGAAGCATGTGCGTCTTCGTTCCTAGCAGCTGGGGTGATGGAGAAGAAGAGGAAAGGGAAATCGATCCGTCTTTGGAGACGCCTCCCATGAGCAAGTACAACAGGATGTCTTTATTTTTAGTTCAGCTTATTTTTAAAAATGCTTAAAAACTTGGTTTGCTTTTGGGCAATTACTCTTTCTAGACTTGAAATTTAACACCCAGTCCAGAGCATCTGAATATTAGTTTGGATTTGTCTTTTTTTTGTCTCCACACTGCAGCACTGATTATGCAAATATGTTTAAGGTCATCCAACTTTCAGAGAGTAGAGGTGAGTGAGTGTCTTTCCCAGTCCTGTGCATCAGATACTCAGAGCCATTTGGCCGGGCGTCTTACCACATCACAGCAAGTTCAGGGGCGGCAGTCTGCACACTACCATGCACCTCTTCATTTCTCACCGTGAGTCAGAATTATAACTAAGCACCATTCCTCATCCCAGGGTAACATAACAGGCGATTAACAGAAGGCAATTGAACGATCCAGCCCAGCCTGAAGGGGAGGTAACCTGGGTGCTGACTCCCCAAAAAGGGCCAAAAAGTGTAGCTATGCTTAGTCTACTCATGTCTCTTTCTCTCTCTCTCTCTCTCTCTCTCTCACACACACACACACACACACACACACCCCACAAATAGATCAGAGAACCTAAGGCAGCAAGAAGGAACTTAGGGTCCCTCTGGTTGTATGCGTCATTTTACAGACAAGGGGGCTGATATTTAGAGACAGGAAGCGCTGTGTTCGTGGCCATGGCTCACCGATGGCCCAGGAATTGGACTCGCCTCTCCAGCTAGTTCCTTCACTCCACTTCACCTCCAGTGCGGTCTGGTTGACACCCATTGTGAACTGCCCAGTCTACGTCTGGCCCTGTCTTTACCTACCTTCTGGCTTCACCAGCTGCACGGGGCTGACTGGTGACTGCTTCCTCTGCAGCACCTGCCAGGAGCCCCTCCGAGATCTCACCACCTCGGCCACGGAGCATCTGTAGGCACCTTCATCCTCCGGCCCCACAGAGAAGATCTTGAGCGAGAAAGCCCTGGGGTTTAACTTGGAAACCTGGAGCTGTCCTTGACTTGCTCTGTCTTTGTAGTCTGTCTTCAGGCCCAGGACTCCATCAGCATCCACCTGGGCAATTTCCGTCCCATTGAGGAACCAAGCACCCTGGAGCTGTTGGTGACTGCTGCTGCCCTCTGCCAGGCACGTGAGTTCTAAGGGCTTCCCTTCAGCAAACGTGCTCTTAGCTGTGATGCTGACCTGGAAATCTCTCCCTGGCAAACAAAGCAAGGCCAGTAATTAGAGAGCCGACTGCATCTGCGCTTCCAGCAGCCGAGATGGGCGAGACCTGCCGCAAGGATGCCGCAGCCTCACCTTTCACTTGGGAATTCAGTTCTGTAGTGGCAGGGAAGCAAAGAATAAAATAAAATAAAGTCCCCGGAGTCAATAGGCTCCTGACTGGTCTTTAAACCACCCAGAAAGGAGAGCATATACAGCTTTCTGAACGCAACCCTAATAAGCAGGATGTATGCACAAATGAATAGAGCATACATTAGGTATGCTTTTTCAATTAAAAACATTTTTTACTATATAGAATTGCTGTACTTTGTGACTTCTTACTCTCTTTGTTGACTAAGAATACCCAATGGAATTTCCATAAGTTAAAGGCACATGTGATATGTCTTTACAGGACACATGTATTTCAGAGATAAAATTCTAAGAAGATAACCATACTTCCCTCCCTCCCTCCCTCAATCAAAGTAACTTCTTAAAAAGAAAGGAGTGGGCACTTGGCCTAGCGGTTAAGTTGTCTCTGTCCCACATCGGAGTACTCGGGTTTGATACGCGGCGCCGCTTCTGGCTCCAGCTTCCTGCTGATGCAGACCCTGGGAGGCAGCAGGTGACGATTCAAAGGTTGGGTCCCTGCCACCTACTTGGAGGACTTGGACTGAGTTCCTGTCTCCTGGCTTCCGCCTGGCCCAGCTCTGGCCATGTGGGGTGTGAGCCAGCATTTGGGAGCCCTGTCTCATCTCTCTGCCTCTCAAACTTTTTAAAAAAGAAAAGCAAACTTCAATAATCCACCACGAATTCACTGCTTGTAGCAAAGGATATATGTAGTTTCAGCAACCCCTCCTATAGGACCAGCACCCACGTGGGGACATCGGGAATCCCAGACGAGGCCTTTCTACTTGCTTTGATGAAAATGCCAGGGTCACCGGGAGTGACACTGCTCCAAGTTGGGAAGGGGGTCAGGTGGAAGAGAATCAGCGCTGACAAAGGCAAAGCACGAGTTGGGAACTGGAACTACCTTAAGATGTCTGAGATGAGTGGACTCCACAGAGAGACAGGTCTGCCTTCCAATCCAGTCCCTCTGCAGGGGGCTGGTGGGCTTGGCAGGGTCAGTGTGTTGAAATCAGGCACCTCGGATCTACAATGGGGGTTGGCCCCTTGCCTCCTAGGGTGGTGGTGAGGGTTAAACTGGGGAACATAGGTCACGTGCTTACAGAAAGCTGGCAATAACAGGAATGGAGCCAGAATCCATCTCTCCCTCCAGCACACCTTGTCCCAGGTCAGCCCCTGAGGGCAGAGCTGGCGGGGCATCCTACTGAGCTACACATCCCCCAGCGACGACACGTACTCAAACCTGCCAGCCGCATTTTCTTGGAGGCAACCAGAGACCAGAGACAAATAGAGAGACACCCCATCCATCCCCACCACCGCATGTTAATGCATTTCCCGAGAAGATAATTACCCGCTGGCTGGATCCTCAGTACGGTTGGATCGGTCCGCTTTTTTGAGATGCAGCTCCAGGTTTCATCTGGATCCTGAATCCACTCAGCCGCCTCACAGAACACCTGGCCTTGATCTGAGGGCTGCAGCCTCTCTATATGCAGTCTGAAGGTCGTGACCCCAAGCCTGTCCAACCGCACATCACCGGCCGCAAACCTCTCTGTATACACTGGCCCAGGGACCACCACAAAATCTCTGGAGAGGGAAATAATCTTGGTGGCCTGGCCGCTTCCTCCATCCTGCGTCAGGTACCAGGAGACGGAGAGGTGGGTGTGCTGAGCTGTGGCTTTGGCTGCCTCACAGGTAAGCTCTAGGGCGTCATCTTCCTCCTTACTGAGAGTGCGAGGACTCATGGTGGCAGAGAGGGTGTCTGGCAGGACTGGAGACAAGGAACGGTGGTCACCGGACTGGCCTGTTCTCGTGCAGCTGGCCTCCTTTGGCGAGCAGGGGGGGCCTGCAGCCCCATCTGCACAGCGTGTACTTTGGGTTGGATTTCTCATTAGCCATATGCTTTCCCCATTGCCCACGGGAACATTGGCATCTCTGTACAGGCTATGGAACTTGGCACAGCAAATGGCTCGGTGATGCATTGACTCTGGCTTTGCTTCATCAGCATAGCTGTGACCAATTTAGGGACTCAGACGTGGAGAATTTAAAGGGGAAAAGCCCTGGGAGCCTCAAAACCTACATTCTGATCCTTAATCTATCTCTGTCTGACGTGAAACTCGGGCCCATCACTTTACCGTCCCAGGCCTTACCCTGCTGCTCTCGAAGGTACAGTTCTGAGACGATCTGGGATCACTTACCTGAGTCAAAGCACCGTCATCGCCAAAGTTTTCTGGCTATGCTAATTCCCTACCATTCTCTTCTTCCTCAAATGAAATCACACAACTGAAGTTTCTGTGGAAGCAACGCTTGGGTCGAATCACTAATTGCATTTCATTAGCATCTACTCAGTGCTAGCCATTGTGCTAGGAACTGATGCAAGCATCCTCAAGGAGCTCAGGGTGTGGTGGGAAAGAGGCCAACAAATAGCCAAACTGGTGGGTGATGAGAAGAGTGGTGTGAACAGAGTTTCAGGAGGAAACCTGTAGGGGCCAGCGTTGTGGCGCAGTGGATTAAGCTGCTGCCTGCAATGCTAGCATCCCACGTGAGCCCCAGTTGGAGTCCCGGCTGCTCTGCTCATGCCAGCTCCCTGATAATACGCCCTGGAAGGTAGTGGAAAATGGCTCAAGTTCTTGGGCCCTGCCACTCATGCAGAAGACCTGAATGGAATTCCTGGCTCCTGGCTTTCAGTCTGGCCCAGCCTCCCCGGGAGTGAATCAGCAGATGGAAGATCTCTCTCACTCTCCCTCCTCCACCCTCTCTGTCACTCTACCTTTCAAATAAAATAAATTGGAAAGAGAGGCGGGGGGGGGGGGGGGGACAGGTGCCATACGGCTCAAGCAGTCAAGATGAATTCTACAGAAGTACTATCTATCCTGGGTGCCGAAGTAGATGTAGGAGTCTGCTCAACAGAAAGAGGGTGTAATGCAAAGGGACAAAAATGACAACTGCAAGGACTGTGACCCTCTCCCCCTAGGCAGATAAGCTAGAGGACGGTGGCTTGAGAACAATCATTTTCACGTTAGTGGCTTGTCACCTGTAATTCTAATGCTAGTTCTCTCTTAAAATCACTGGTCTGCCTTCAAGGAGAGAGGACATGGGGAGAATGCTCAAAGCTTTGCTTAACGCGATCGAAGTTACCAACCTATGGAGACCGTGGACGAGACCTTGGGAAGACAATACATTGGTTAAATCTTTATGGCACTGTGATTGGGAAGAATGAGATACCTATGGGTGACTGATCTCTAGGATTTCCAGGCTCTTTCTCAAAGCAAATGGAACAGGTTAAGGGCATGTCCTGGTGCCAGGGGATGGAGGGCCCTCTGGCTTTGCAGGGGCTGGCTCGCAGAAGCAGGCAGACAGCTTACCGACTAGATTAGTCTTGGCACTGTAACTGCCGTGGTATTTGCCATCAGTGTTGGGTGTGTGACACTCATACTCGCCAGCATCCTTCATCTGGAGCGCTGCGATGTGCAAGACAGAGTTGCCCTGCACCCTCTCCACGTAGATTTCCCGGCTCCGCACTCGCTGCGCATACACTGCATAGGAGAATTTTGCATTCTCGGTGCTGACGATCTGGATTTCCTGGGCTGGGGCTGTCGGCAGGTACACAGACCACCGGAAATGCTGCTCAGAAGGTCCCTGGTGGCCAGTTACGTTGCAGCCAATGCTGACTGGGTAACCTTCAGTTCTGTACAGTGGTCCTTTTTGAATTGTTACTTCTCTCTGGCCAATGCTGAGCTTAGCTTGCAAGGAGGAGGAAGAAAAGGGAATAAAAATAGATTAGCACTTCAGTTCCCAGTGCGCCACATTATGTAGCTTCCTATATTACAATGCTGGTAAATGAGATCGGAGGTTATTAGCTATAATCAACTTAAATGTTGTACACCTTCTTCAGGCTGAGCTGCAGTAGAATGGCTTGATGAGTTAATTGTTCTTTTACAACTTTAACTTTCATAGTAATCTCTAGTCTCTTTTTTAAAAAGGGAAGCTTCATCAATGCAGCATGGCGACTTCCATAAAACATCTGCTTATCTAAGTGCACTTGTTTTAAAGCACATACAATGTATGATGATTGATCTTTTATGGGAGAATTCAGCATACATGTCCTCAAACTCCACAGTACCTGCTCTCCCACTGAGGGAAAGTCGACAGCTCTTCCCTGGGTGCCGTGATTCTTCTAGCTGGTGAGTTGGAACTATTTGTAGCTCTTGGCCAGGTCTGATGCAAGACTAGCTAAAGTTAGCAGCTGAATAGGCAGCGACACTTCCTTTCTATACAGTGGAGGTGGGTAGGCTTTTTTTTTTTTTAATTGTCTTGTGATTTCTTGAAGAGCCACAGCTTTACTGAAATGATTCATGAGATGGCTGTGAAGTCTAGCAGGTTCTGGGGTCAGAATTTATTTTGTTTTATTTTTTTTAAGATTTATTTATTTACTTTAAAGGTGGAGTTACAGAGAGAGAGGCAGAGGGGGAGAGAGAGAGGGAGAGAGAGAGAGAGATCTTTCATCCACTGGTTTGCTCCCCAAATGGCTACTACAGCTGGAGCCGAATAAGTCTGAAGCCAGGAGCCAGGAGCTTCTGAGTCTCCCACGTGGGTGCAGGGGCCCAAGGACTTGGGCATCTTTTACTGCTCTCCCAGGCCACAGCAGAGAGCTGGATGGGAAGTGGAGCAGCTGGAAATGCCAGCGCCACAGGTGGCGGTTTAACCCGCTATGCCACAGTGTCGGCCCCCAGAATTTATTTTAGATTTTTGTTTACCAAACTTTCCAGTCAGGAGCACCACTATGGAGTGGCCTCTATGTAATGAGCATCAGACATTAGGTTTATGAAGAAAACATGACGAAAAGGCCACATTTGAAAAATCTTGTAAATCAAGAGTTCTTCAGCAGGGAAAAGGAAGGCCTATGCTTTAATATTAATTTTTGAAAGCTAGTTCATTTTGTGTTACAGAAAGAACTGAAACAGATGAAAGAGATGCCACAGGGTGGGCTAGGTCTTTTACAAGGGTTCAACGGCAAGATGGGGAGACAGGGTTGGAAGACATCAGAAAGGGCCCGCAGTGGGTGATTGCTGGGGTTACAGCGTTAATAGAACAGTGTTCGTAAGAAGACATGAAGCACAGAGCATCTGCTGGAGTTCCCGACTCCACAAGGACAAAGAATAAAGGACACATTAGAGGGGAAAGAAAGGTGAGGGAAATGGACAATGATATTACAGCAACCCTGATGACACTGGATATAAGAATCGTGAGTGAGAGGCAAACAATTCTAAAAGACAGCAAGGGGATACAAAAAAAAAAGACAAGATAAAAACGGTGAGTGGTCACCTGATACAGTCAATTAAAAGTTGCATATAAGGGGGACCACGCTGTGGTGCAGTGGGTCAAGCCATCACCTACGATGCCAGCAGCCCATTTCACAGCCCAGTTTGAGTCTCAGCTGCTCCACTTCTGATCCAGCTCCCTGCTAATGCACCTGGGAAGACAGCAGAAGATGGCCCAAGTGCTTAGGTCCCTGCACCCACCAGGGAGACCTGGATGGAGTATTTGGCACCTGGCTTCAGCCTGTCCCAGTCTTAGCCATTGTGGGCATTTTGGGGAATGAACTAATGGATAGGAGCTATCTCTCTCCATCATTCTCTGTTGCTTAGCCTTTCAAATCAATCAATAAATCCTTAAAAAATTGCATATATATATGCTTAATCTAAAACTGGTAGACAAACAAATCAATGCCCAACCAACAAGCTGCAACACTTCCAGTAATCATTAAAAATATGCTCATTTGCTCATAAATCCCAATTAATACATCACATTCTTTTTATAATAAGTATTTAGGAATAGACATTAGACCACCTTAGAAAAGTTTAATTACTTACCAAAAAAGTATACCGCATAGGCAATTTTAAAGATTTTTCAGCAATGCTGTCTTAGAGAAATGTGTACTCTGTGCACCACACTACATGAGAAAGAACATTCATAGCTATCCTGTTCATGTGATAACCCATATGACCATCAACAGTAGAATGCTTGAACTGGAATATTTTGCCAAACTGAAAAAGAATGGGGTGAGTGTTTGGCACGGCAGTTAGGCTGTCCTTTGGAATGCCTGCATCCCACGTTGGAGCACCTCGATTCAAGTGCTGGCCCTGCTCCCGATCCCAGCTTCCTGCTAAGGCACACCCTGGGAGGGAGCAGCTGGTGCTTCAAGTACTTGGGTCCCTGCCAGCGATGTGGGGGATCTGGATTGAGTGTTGGGCTGTAGTCCTCAGCCTCGCCCAAGATTTATTTATCTAATTATTTGAAAGAGCAACAGAGGGAGAGAGTGACCTTCCGTCCACTGGTTCACTCCCCAAAGGGTCCCAACAGCCAGGGCTGGGCCAGGCTGCAGGCAGGAGCCAGCAACATCATCCTGGCCTTTCCTGTGAGGGTCAAGGGCCCACGCGCTTGGGCCATCTTTCACTGCCTTCCCAGGTGCTTTAACAGGAAGCTGAATCGGAAGCGAAGAAGCCAGGACTCAAACTGGCGCTCCCACAAGGGATGCCTGCACCATAAGCAGCAGCTTACCCTGCTGAGCCACAATGCCGGCCCTTGACTCCTCACATAAAGAAAGAAAGAATTTGAAAAGAAATGAGAATGAATTAGTTGCGACTGTTTTCAGTGCCATGGATGACTTTGTTCCATGGCAGATACAAAACACTCCTGAATGCCTACATACAGAATGATTCCACTGTTTACAGAGTTTGGAAATCGACAAAAAACCACACTGGGTCGTTTAGTGATGCAGGCAGAAGGAGTTAAATCATTAAAAGAAAAAGGTAGGAAGTGGTTATCATGAAAGTCAAGAGAGTGATGGGTGGGGGCGGGGGTGGGGAATGTGACTGGCATGCAGCAGGTGGCCTGGAGCCCCCAGGGTCCTGACAATGTTCTCTTTCTTTCTTTCTTTCTTTCTTTCTTTCTTTCTTTCTTTCTTTCTTTCTTTCTTTCTTTCTTTCTTTCTTTCTTTTTTTTTACAGGCAGAGTTAGACAGTATGAGAGAGAGACAGAGAGAAAGGTCTTCCTTCCGTTGGTTCACCCCACAAATGGCCGCTACGGCCGGTGCGCTGCACCGATCCGAAGCCAGGAGCCAGGTGCTTCCTCCTGGTCTCCCATGAGGGTGCAGGGCCCAAGGACCCGAGCCATCCTCCACTGCCTTCCCGGGCCACAGCAGAGAGCTGGTCTGGAAGAGGAGCAACCAGGACAGAACTGGCGTCCCCAACCAGGACAGGAACCCGGGGTGCCAGCACTGCAGGCGGAGGATTAGCCTAGTGAGCCGCGGCGCTGGCCAGACAATGTTCTGTTTCTGGACTTGGGTGCTGAGCACACGGGTTTTACTTTTGACTTGTTTGTTAAACTGTGTGTTTATGTTTTACCAACATCTTCTTATGTGTCACATTGCACAATAAAAACGTTCTTGTAAAAATCTGCTTTTTTGCTACTGCTAATCTGTTTATATCAGGGCATGTTTCCACAAACAAAGTTATTTTTGGCGGTTGGGCAACACTTCTGCAACATTTTCCATCACTTTTCAGAGATGGGTACTGCATTTGAAGAATTTTATTGTGAAAATTAGCACTTCATTTTCTAGTGCTTTATCTGCCAGTTCAACAAGTTTTTATATTTGATGCTTGAGAGACTAAAATGTGAGGATGAGTTTGGGAGTTCCTGACTTCTGGATTTTAAAGGTAGGCTGGTGATCATCTCTCTATGAAAAAGATACAATAAGAGTGCTTTCAGGAATTCAAAGAAAGTGACATTTTTGGAGGCAGCAAATAGGAAAGGCTTATAGAAGAGATGGCATTAGAAGTAGACCTTGGGGTGGCATAGCTGGCAAAGCTGCTGCCTGCACTGCCCACATTCCATTTGGACACTGGTTCGAGTTCTGGCTGCTCCACTTCCCATCCAGCTCCCTGCTAATGATCTCAGGAAAGAATTGGGAGATGGCCTAAGTGTTTGGGCCATTGCATCCACGTGGGAGACCCAGAAGAAGCTCCTGGCTCCTGACGTCAGATCAACCCAGTCCCAGCCATTGTGGCCATCTGGAGAGTGAACCAGCAGATGGAAGACCTTTCTCTCTGTCTCTCCCTCTTTCTCTCTTTGTAACTCTGCCTTTCAAATAAATACAACAAATCTAAAAAAAAAAAAAAAAAAGCAACAAACAAAACAAAACAGTATAGAGGCCAGGAGAGAGGCGATGATGACAATAACGATGAAGAAAGGGACTAAAGCTTAGGAGCTGCTGCTGCAGGGGTGAGAGCTACAGGGTTTCCAGTGTTTTGGATCCTTAGGGGTAGTAGGGGTAAACTAAGGGACAGGAGGTGGGCAGAAATCACGGCTGACATGCAGGTTTTGTCTGGTTGACTGGGAGAATAGCAGTACTCTTAACAGAAACAAGGGTAGCAGGCTGGGCCACTGTTGTGCTGTTGTGTTGGAGGGTGGGAGAGTATGATGTGTTTAATTTTACTAACAGGAAAGACAGCCAGCAAACATTTAGAAATGTGGCTTCAGTGTATATGTGTGTATGTTTAAAATTGAAAGTCTACTCAACCCTTGGAAAAATCTATAACCTGACCCTTCCAAAAAATAACCTCTGTGATATTCCCATATTTGGTAATGTCAGCACTTAGAAGAGGCTGAGTCAGACTTGAGCCTAGACCTTCAGTTGCCAAATCTCTGGTGTTTCCATTGTTTCTCAACACTTCCTCTAAATGCCTGTTTGTAACCAGGGAGAGTTCAGGGCTAGAAACGTAGACTAGTGGGAAGTCTTAGAGAATGTGAGGGGGGCTAAGCAGAGATCACTGGAGAAGTTAGGGAGGTGAGAGGGCACCCAGGACCCAGCGACTGGGAACCCAGGAGGAAGGGGCTTGGCAGCACTGCTGAAGGCTGCTAAGAGGTTCGGGACTCCACACAGAGCAGGTCCTGAAGCTGCTTGATGAGGCTGTCCACGGAGAGCTTCGCCAAAGAGGTCTTGATGGCGCAGACGCAGTAGGGTTGAAGGGTGACAAGCGACTGCAGGAAGTGAAAACCAGGAAGTTCCATGGAAAGGGAGAGAGCAGACTGGTGGCAGCAGGAAAGAGGAGCTGTGTGTAGAGAAGCAGTGAGGGGCGGATGGAAACAATTTCCTTGGCAAGTGTTTTGGCGGCAGCAGCAGCAGCAGAGGGCAGAGGTGGGTGAAGACAGAGCAGGTAATGAGTGGAGGAAGGCCCTACCGACCCCACGTGTGATTCCAGGAATGCCCACGGGAGGGTGCTGTGGTGTGGTCACAACATGTGTGTGCCCCACAAAGCTGTATTTGGGACCGTACACCCCGGGATGTTGGACCTTGCAGAGGTGACCGGGTCATAGGGTTATCCCTGGGATTGATGCCCTGTGGACGAATCCAGAAAGCTAGCGGGTCCCTTCCACCACGTGAGGACATGGCTAGAAGGCGCCGTCTGTGAGCGGGCTCCCACCAGACACCGAATCTTGGGAGGCCTTGATCTTGGACGCCCCAGACTCCAGGGCTGTGGGCAATGACTTTCTGCTGCTTTTGAGGGCTGCCCAGACTGAGACACCCTGCTCTCACAGGAAAGTGGAAGAAATGGGGGCAGAGTGGGGGGGGGGGTCACCAGTATTTCTGGGTGAAAAGGAGTGAGTGGCAGAGCTCAATGCCAATGGGCATGCCTGGGGACCCTCTACTGAAGCATCTCATTCCCTGGCGGCTGCTTCAGGAACTAGCTCTCCTCCTGAGGAGGGAACCTGCCCCCAACAGCGGGCTGTTCCATCGCTTTCTGTTTTAACAGACGGGGCATTAGGCCACCCTCGCACAGCAGCCCAGGTTCTGGCTGAGCCATGAGCACCCAGCTTGGCAATGACATACCAACACGGGAGCCCTGCTTCACACACACTAGGAAGTCCTTGAGAGTATCGTCATTATTAAAAAAAATCACTGGTATCGTCACAAATTACCATTTTGGTATTATTTGAAATGATTAGGTTGCACTATAATAAATGGCCCATACTTAAATATTTTTCATATAAAAAACTCAAACCAATTTCGAATAACTTCATTTGTACAAAATGTGCATGGGGAACAACCATCATAACCAATCAACTCCTCTTTGTTTACACACAGGGATACCCTAAACACTCGGAAGCTGAGAGCCTCCTTCTAAGATAAAGTGGGGTCAACCCCCACCCCTCACTCATGAACTCAATCCAAGACAAACAACAGCCCCCCCCAGAGCCTTTGGCATTAATGGCCTTTATCTGTAGGACACAGCTGGTCAGGAGTGTGACAGGTCAGGCCGGCAAAGCTCACTGCCAAGTCCAGAGCTCGGTTACCCATGATGTCAACCTCCTCCAGTACCATATATCCTGAAGGGATTATTCACTCTTTATATTTTCTGGGAAAAAATAATAAATTGGGACAAAGTGCGCATACATTTTCTAAACAATGTAATTGCTCTGTTAATCATCATTTTATTTCCTTCATTTTTCTTCTATATTTGCAATGACAAATAGCAAGCTTCCAAAGCTTTTCAAGTTACTGCCTGATTGATGTATCCGTCACATAAAAACCATGATTCCATACAAAATTAATGCTTAATTTTGAGTCAGAATTTAGTGAACATAAATATAGAATCCAGTTTAGGTGATGGTTTAAACAGGTTAAGGAAAAGCTTCCAGTTTCCCCTTTTTGAATCTTGGTTAGTACTTTGCTCCCCCAAGGCCTTCTAGCCTACACCAAATGGGGGGGGGAGGGGAAAGAGAGAGAGAGATTTTATAATTCTCTGATTTATTGCACAATGTAAGCCCGGTTTCCCTTATACACAAGGCAAATATACTCACACAGTCCAAATACACAAAGCACACAGACTTGAGACTCACTCTCAGACAGCTGAGCAGGACAAATAAAGAAACACAGCAGCCCCCAAAGGATCGCACCAGTGCATCTGTGCACTAACACCTGCTACACCCCTCTGGCAGGAAAAGACCACCGCCACCACAACCACCACCACCCTGCCCCCCGGAGGTCCTAGCACCTCCCCCTGCAGGCTGTCTCTGTTTCCATCAGGCCCAGAGCTGATCCCTAGCTTATGCAATCGTATGTCCCTTGAGTTACCAGTCTAACTCCACCAATGCTTACTAAGCAAGCCCTATGGTGCCACATGCTAATTCTTTAGCCACAGCCCTGGCCACACTGACTACAGCTTGGTTTGGTTGCCGCCATCATCCAGGCCATTCAGGCATCTGCACTAACTCCATCCAGTCTCTCAAAAGCAGAGTTTGTAATCGGGGTCCACATATAGACTTAAAGGATCCTATAAACTAGGGTGGGGGAAAAAACCCTTCCATCCTTAGTTTCATTTCTTTCTAATATAAATTTAGTATTTTATTTTGCTATAAATGCAGATAACAAACCACAGATTATTTTCCTATCATGTTACAATCATTGGACATATATTAAACTCTTATTCATACTCATCACTACTTTGAAGTTTGCTGATTAACAGATCCATCTCCAGGTCTTGTCATGTAATGCATAAAGAATCAAATAAGCCACTACATCACAATTTGCTAACAAGTTATTTTTTTTTTTTTTTTTTTTTTTTTGACAGGCAGAGTGGACAGTGAGAGAAAGAGAGAGACAGAAAGGTCTTCCTTTGCCGTTGGTTCACCCTCCAATGGCCGCCGCGGCCGGCGCGCTGCGGCCGGCGCACCGCACTGATCCGAAGGCAGGAGCCAGGAGCCAGGTGCTTTTCCTGGTCTCCCATGGGGTGCAGGACCCAAGCACCTGGGCCATCCTCCACTGCACTCCCGGGCCACAGCAGAGAGCTGGCCTGGAAGAGGGGCAACCGGGACAGAATCTGGCGCCCCAACCGGGACTAGAACCCGGTGTGCCGGCGCCGCAAGGCGGATTAGCCTAGTGAGCCGCAGCGCCGGCCCTGCTAACAAGTATTTTGATAACCATATGGCAATGCTGATTTCTTCTATAATCCTATGCATTTAAAGAAACTATTCTGAGATGAGGTCTATAAACTTCACCAGATGCCAAAGGAACCCAGGGCACAAAAGCTGCTGCTCCCTGTTCTCCTTGGTGTAGAATATTTCATTCTCTTCCCAGTCTGCCTGGTTCTCCATTTTACCTGTGCAGATCCCCTTCCCCCACTCTGTTCTCACACGGAGAAAGGCCCGGGGCCAGGAAGCCTCTGCTTGTGGCCTTCCGCAGGGCCAACTGAATAGTCCTGCTCTCTCCCCAGCCTCTCGGTAGCTGTCTGCCAGCTCCTACGTGTAGCTTAGAACTACCAGGTGCTCTCCTGAATACCTTTCCACCAAGCCACATCCCCAAGGCATACACATAAGGGAAAACTTAGGGTCTCCTCTCAGTCTGGGGAGCTAAGTCTTGCACTCTGTCTCAGGATGGTCAGCCCAGCAAGACGAGATACCAAAGCCAAGCAAAACTGGCAGCTCTGGCAAAGCAGACAAACCTAAAAAGCCATGGCACCAGGTACATGGGACTCAACCGACCATTGCCACGCCCTGAAACTGAAAACTGTCTAGGAAAGCCAAGGCCTGTCCTTAGCATCAAAAGTGACTGCTTGGCCGGCGCCGTGGCTCACTAGGCTAATCCTCCACCTTGCGGCGCCGGCACCCCGGGGTTCTAGTCCCGGTTGGGGCACCGGATTCTGTCCCGGTTGCCCCTCTTCCAGGCCAGCTCCCTGCTGTGGCCAGGGAGTGCAGTGGAGGATGACCCAAGTGCTTGGGCCCTGCACCCCATGGGAGACCAGGAGAAGCACCTGGCTCCTGGCTTCGGATCAGCACGGTGCGCCAGCTGCGGCGGCCATTGGAGGGTGAACCAACGGCAAAGGAAGACCTTTCTCTCTGTCTCTCTCTCTCTCACTGTCCACTCTGCCTGCCAAAAAAAAAAAAAAAAAAGTGACTGCCAGCACCAGAAAAGGGTGGCCTGGCTCTCCCTGGGGAGCCCAAGTTGCCCTGTTCCCTGTGATGACAGAATCACGCAGGGTTATGACACTTACTCAGAAGGAAAAAGAGAGATGCCGCATGCAGGACGCGTGCCATGGGGCCACAACAGCGCTTTCCAGGTGGTGTCACCGACGCTGCTCAGAGGTTGAGTGGCAAATACTTGTGCTCGCTGCAGGAGTAAAGAGGAAGCAATTGTGTGGTTTTCAGCCTGCAGAGAAACAGATATGTTTTGCAAAGAGCACAGCTGGTTACATTATATGGATCTTTGTTGCTCACTCACATTCAGGGCTAAAGAAGCGATCTTTAGGGTTAAGCACGTATAGACAGATAAGAATACGATAATTGCTTATTTTGGGTAAATATGGATGGACTATTTGGTATTGATGAAGGGGTTTAAGTGAAGTCAAAATATCAAAAAGCAATTAGAAATGTTCTCTTCTTGGCCCTCACCTCCTCTCCTGTCTTGACACAGGAAATGAGAGGGGGTGCCAGGAAAACACGGGCCTGGGGTGTGATGTGACATGATGGCGGGGGGCAGGCTGGCCAGGGTTACACACTAATTCTACTTTTACTTAGCTGTGCGATCTTAGAGAAGCTAATACGTGGCAGGCAGTGTGGTGGGCAGCAGGTTACTGCCACCTGAGACACCTGCATCCAATACTGGAGTGCCCAAGGTCAACTTCCGGCTACACTGTGCTTCTGATCCAGCTTTCTGCTGATAACCCTAAGAAGGCAGCAGATGGTGGCTCAAGTACTTGGGTCCCTGCCACCCATGTGGAAGACCTGAATGGAGTTCCAGTTTCCTGGCTTCAGCCTGGCCCAGCCCTGGCGGTTGTGGGCATTTGGGGAATAAAAACCAGCAGATGGAAGATCTTTCTCTGCACCCCTCTCCCACTGCCTTTCAAATAAACAAATAAATCCTTTATAAAAAGAAAAAAAAAGCTAATTAACCTTGTCTAACCCTTATCTCTAAAATGGCTATACTAATAGTGTGTACCCTAAAAGATTGTTGTGAGAAGTTGAATGAGCATATTCGTCGAAAACACTCAGTCCAATATCAGGCTTATGGTTGGTGCTCAGTGACTGTCAGCTACCTATCACTGTGGTGAGATGTTCAAGTGAACCTCCATCTGCCCCGTGTGGGCTTAGGCACCACGGCTGGCAGAGGAGCACACACTGAGCCCGGGCCAGTTAATCCTACTGCAGTTCTAAAGGGCAATACCATGAGAGGGATGAACTTATTGAGGACATTAGCTCCCTAGATCGAGCCTACATTGAGACAGATTGTATCAAAGTTGGTCTGTTTCAGCCCACAGTTACAGGAATATCCCTGCTCCATCCCTCTGTCCGTCTATCCAGCCAGCCAGCCACCATAAATTTTTTCCCAAGTTCTGGGGTGGGTTGTGCATATACAACCCTTTCTTCATTCTCAGGCTGCTTCCACGTCATCAGATATACAGAGTGCAATGGGTCAGCTATCAGTGGGGACCAGAGAGCGATGCAGGAAGTGGTGGGCAGGAGAGAAGGTCAGGATGGATGGAGCTGGGCCAGACAAATCAACTAGGGGGAAAGGGGGCCGAGCCTCAGATGGGGACAAGCAGTCCCCAGCATGGAGAGCAGTGCAGATGCTGCTGGTGTAGACGTTCCAGGCTGTGTGAAAGGAGATGTGAAAGGTCTGTGCGGGTGGGCTGGGGCACACCTTAGCGGGCTTTGCACGCCAGGTTTTAGAGTGTGGCTTTTATCCAGAGGGAAAGTGAACCATTGAGAGGGTTTTTAGTAGGAGTGGCCTGGTAGGATTTTCCTTTTAAATTGAATTCTGTACTTGTGTACTTCTAACTGGTTGAAAGGTAGGGAGGAAGATAAGGTAGAAGCAAGAAGGCCAATTACGAGATTTCTGCAGTTGTCTGTATGAGCAATCATGAGAGCCTGCATTAGGGCATTAAAAATACTGACAGAGGAGGAATCAGTGAGATAATCAAACCCTTATGAGCGCCCCCTATAGGTGCTGGAGAGCTATACATAGTTAAAGTGTCAGCTCTGATATCAAGGAGTTGCTGTTTTGTAATGGGGAGCCCCAAAGAAGAACACATCTGACCATCACGCCAGGGGCTTGGGTGAGGTTCCTAAGAGAGGACAAGGAAAGAGACCTAGACACTTGAGGGAGGGAGAAAGCATATTGAATTTGGGGAGAATGGGAGGTCAGGAAAATCTTCACAGGAAATCTGGGAACTGTAGTACAGTGGGATGACATTCTACCATCTCAGATCTGGCAGCTGCTGTCTGTCTGTCTTTTATCTTTATCCATCTACCTAATCCATCAAATTCATCTATTTTGCCTAATCTGTCATTTATTCTATATCTATCACCTATTATCTATCATGTATCTATCAAATGCATCAATCATATCTATCTAAATCATCAATCTATCATCTATCAAATCCCTTGATCTCATGTATCTAATCTAGCTTATATATTTACCTAATCAATCTTATCTCTCTATAAAGTCTATCAATCATCTACCTCTCTGTTTTATTCCTTAGCCATGACCCTAAACAGTTAGTCCCCAATGACAGTCTACCTACAAATAAGTGAAGGGCTATGTAGTTCCCTTTTCAACGTACTATGCAAGGCAAGGCTTGGGGGAATCACAGAACCATAAGGGCCCTGCCCTCTGGGCACTTGGAAACTAATAAACAGCTATGGGTAAGAAGTAGTAGTCATAGAAGGAAGCACATGTCTGGCATTCAAATCACGGTTCACACAGGAAATACCCTAAGAGTTAATAGGCTGGAGAGGCAAGAGGCAGCCACAGAATGCCATTTAGAAAAGGCTGGTGGGGCAGGCATTACGGTGCAGCAGGTTAAGTCATTGCTTGGGATGCCCACAGCCCAGAATGAAGTGCCTGGGGTTGAGTGCTGCCTCCACCTCCATTTCTGAACTAGCTCCCGCTAATGCACCTAGCAGGTAGTGGGTGATGGCTCAAGAAGCACTGAGTTCCTGCTACCCACATAGGAGTCCCAGATGGAGCTCCTGGCTCCTGGCTTTGGCCTGTCCCAATGCCGACTGTTGCAGGCACTTGGGGAGTGAACTAGTGGGTGGAAGATCTCTGTCTGTTTGTCTTGTCTGTGTTGCTCTTTCTTTTTTTATTTATTTTTTTGACAGGCAGAGTGGACAGTGAGAGAGAGAGACAGAGAGAAAGGTCTTCCTTTTGCCATTGGTTCACCCTCCAATGGCCGCTGTGGCCGGCGCACCGCGCTGATCCGATGGCAGGAGCCAGGTACTTATCCTGGTCTTCCATGGGGTGCAGGGCCCAAGCACCTGGGCCATCCTCCACTGCACTCCCGGGCCACAGCAGAGAGCTGGCCTGGAAGAGGGGCAACCGGGACAGAATCCGGCGCCCCGACCGGGACTAGAACCCGGTGTGCCAGCGCCGCAAGGCGGAGGATTAGCCTAGTGAGCCGTGGCACCGGCTGCTCTTTCAAATAAGTAAAAATGACTAATTGTTTTTTAAAAAAGGAAAAGAAAGGAAAGGCTTATTTTAAGTAGGTCCTTGGAGATAACATGATTCAAATAAGCAGAGAGGAGGGAAGGGCATTCCAGGAAGGAGAAATAAAATGCACAAAGGCTGAGGCAGGGATGTGCTGGTCGTGCTTAGGGAAATACTAAAGGGCAGTGTGCCTTGAATGGAGATTTCAAGCGAACCTCTTTCTTCAGGCTGTTAATTCAACAGCCACTTGTTCACCACTTCAGTAAGAGAAGTCATGGGTCACCCCCAGGCACCAATATTGCTGACAAATGCACTGTATCAGTTATTGCTGTAACAAATAACCACAAAACTGTTGGAAAGTGAACTTTTTTTTTCTAAATTTTAAAAAGATTTATTTATGTACTTCAAAGTCAGAGTTCAAGAGAGAGAGAGGGAGAGACAGAGATAGTGGTGTCCTCTATCCACTGGTTCACTCCCCAAATGGCCACAATGGCTAGGGCGGGGCCTGGTTGAATCCAGGAGCCAGGAGCCTCCTCCAGATCTCCAACATCAAGGACATCAGCCATCCTCCTTTGCTTTCCGAGGTGCATTAGTAGGGAGCTGGATCAGAAGTAGAGCAGCTGGGACTCCAACCAGCACCCATATGAGATGCCAATGTCGCAGGTAGCAGCTCAACCTGGTACACCACAATGCCAGCCCTTATTTTTTTTTAAGACTTTAAAAAAATTTATTCTAAAGGCAGAACTGAGGAGGTGGGGAGAGAGAGAGAGAGGGAAAGACGGAGACTTCCATATACTGGTTCCATATGCTGGTTCACTCTCCAAATGTCTGCAAAGGCCAGTGTTGGGTCAGATTGAAACCAGGAGCCAGGAGCTTCTTCCACTGCTTTTCCCATGCACATCAGCAGGGAGCTGGATCAGAAGTGGAGCAGCTGGGTCTTGAATGGACACCCATATGGATGCTAGTGTTGCAGGTGATGGCTCTACTGACTACACCACAATGCTTGTTGACAAGTGTTTGGGTCAGCTGGGTGCTTCTGTATGTCAGTGGATTTGCTTGTGTATCTGGTCAGCTGACAGGAGCTGGATGGTCTAGGACAGCCTTGGCTTGGATGACCTGGCCCTCCTGCACACCCCTCTAGCAGGACAAGATACTGTCAGGGATCTGAAAGGACCGGGATTTGGAAATACATCAGCACTTTTTAAAGGCTCCATTTATATCATGACCTATAATAATCCACAGGCTAAAGCTAGTCACATGACCAAGACCAAGTGCAAGAGATGGATGAAGAGACCACCCCCCTAAAGAGGGGGACAGCAAAGTCACAGACCAAAGAGAGAGAAAAAACCAACATCATCAACGCACTTTAGCATGAAAATTTTAAGAATTATGGGACAGGCATTTGGCACAGCAGTTAAGTTGCCGCGCGGGACCTGGGTACCTCACTGTAGATCCTGTAACACCCCTGTATCACTCACTGGATCACCCCTGGAGTTCCTGGTTGGAGTCCTGACTCAGCTTCTGATCCACCTGCCTGCTTATGCACACCCCGGGAAGACAGCAGATGATGGTCCAAGTGGGTGGGTCCCTGCCACTCACATGGGAGACCCAGGTGGGCTGGCTCCTGGCTCTATGTGCACTTGGGGGAGTGAATCAGTGGATGGGAGATCTCTATCTGTCTCTGTCTCTCTGCCTTGCAAATAAAAT